TCCCGAGTGCTGGGATTAAAGTCGTGTGTCACCACGCCCTGCTGAAATTACCTCTTTTTAAAAAATATTTTTTATTTATTTTTATTTTATGTGTATGAGTGTTCACCTGCATGCATGTAAGTGCACCCGTAGTGTCGTGCAATGCCTGTGGATGTTGAAAGAGAGCATCGGATTCCCCTGGAACGGGAGTTATAGATGATTGTTAGCTGCCGTGTGGGTACTGGGAATCGAACCCTGGTCCTTTGCAGGAGCAGCCAGTGCTCTTAACTGCTGAGTCATCTCTCTAGCCCCTAATTATCTATTTTTAAAAATATTTTATGTGTATGCATGTATTGCCTGCATGCAGGTAAGTGCACTCATGCCGTGCAATGTCCAAAGAGGACAGAAGAGGCTGTTGGATCCCCTGGAACTGGAGTTACGGACAGTTGTTAGGTGCCATGAGGGTGCTGGGATTCGAACCTGGGTCTTCTGCAAGTACAGTCAGTGTTCTTAACCGCTGGGCCATCTCTCCAGCCCCCCTAATTATCTTTTTTTAAACTCCACTCTCTGAGCTTGCCCTGCCAAACTCATGCCCAAATGACACCATCATCTGCTTCTGCTTAAGAGCAGAATCTCACAAGGAAACTCATCAGTTTCACTTTCGTTCTTGATCCTGATCCCTGGTGGTTGAGTCTGGCATCTCTGTGGACTTCTATATCTGGAGCCATCTGTTCCTGCCTTGCCTGCCAAGCTCCTACTCCCGTTTCTCCCACTTTCACCCCAGCTGCTAATCTTGCTTGTGCTTCATGGAATTGATGAGTGTCCCGAACACAGACTTTGTTGTCTTTTTGCCAAACCTTACCATTTGACTTCTGTGTATGCCTTTTCTTCCTTGTGCTACGAAGCATCTCTCCTCTTGCTGCCCTGTCCCTCCAGTTCTGTGTTGATTTTAGCCCATCTGTCTGTGTGAGGATTTTAAATCTTGAGCTGTCCACTCTTCTGTTTCCCTCCTTCCCTTTGCCATAAAATGGCTATAATATTGTCTGCTTATTTTTTATTTGTATTGGTTTTGTTTATGTGTATGTGTGTATGCCATGTGCGTGTAGGTGCCCTCAGAGGCCAGAGGAGGGTGTCAGATTCCCTGGAGCTGGAGTTATAGGAGAGCTACCCAGCATGGGTGCTGGGAACTGAACGCAGGTCCTCTGCAAAAGTCAAAAGTGCTTTTAACCACTGAGCCATCTTTTCAGCCCCAACAGTTTAATTTTTTTTAAAGGAAGGGTTGCACAGTTATTGTATGACTCAGTAATTCTACTCTTAGGTGTACATCCAAGAGAAAGCAAAAAAAAAAAAAAAAATTCAGGGCTGTGGGTACAGGCCAGTGGTAGAGCACCAATTTAGTATGCCTGAAACCCTAATTTCAATCCTTCTCCCCACCAGAAAACCCCCAAATCTGAAAACATTCATCTACATAAAAATATGTACACAAGCCTGCTGTAGTGGTGCATGCCTTTAGGCAGGGGCACGGGAACAGAATTCCTCCCTTTTGACTCCTAGTTCAGAAAGAAAAGGAATAATTACCAAAATAAAACTAATATGCAAAAGATGAGGTTTTTTTTATTGGCAAGAAAATACTGAGTAGGAAAACTAGGCCCAATCTGGAAGCAGTGGAGGGCCGTGCTAATTGCATTTTCCTCAGCAACAGCTGAATTGAGATGGGGTGGGTTTTTTTCCTTCAGTCCCCTCAATTTGCCTGGCTGTTAGCTTTTGTTAGCCTGTAAACCTTCTTTAAGAGCCAGACTCCTGGTGCTTAGCAAGATGTAGAGAGACAGTGATAATGCTGAGAGATTAGTCAGTGTACACAAAATTCTGAGTTATAGGAGGCTTGGGTGTGGGTTTCCCCCACTCTGACTCCGCCTCCTCCCTACAGCGTGCCTGGTGCTTACTGCCAGCTTTGTAGCTGCTTGCTAACTGGAATGTTTTTACTTTCAGTAGACAGATCTCTTTTATTTATAGTTCTGATTGAGAGTAATTTTTTTGTGCGTCATCTCTTGTTCCTTGAGACACCAAGCTTGGTAAAGGTGCTGTATCCAGATGTTAATTTTGCACTCAAGTCTTGCAGTCACAGCATTTACGTGGTCCATGTCATAAAATTCTACTTAAGGCAGTATGGTGCAATAGCGAGGCCTTCCAGTGTATCTGGTGTCTCAGTCCTAATGTTCCCTCTCTACATCCCATCTGGGGCCTACTCACCTTGCACCATCGAGGTTATAACTGCTGATGCTTCTGACTTTCTGACTGCTTTGTGTGCCAGACACTGCGAGTGCTCACTCACTTCTTCCTTTCACATCCTTTGAGGCAGATGAAGACACAGAGGATAAGCAAACTGCATAAGATCATATGGTAGGCTGGTGGTCTAGTTGGTGTTTGAACTTACCTCTGTCATACTCCTGGTTCTAAGGCTGCAGTGCTCAATTTTCTCAAGTTGCTTAGGAAGTGGCCATTTGGTAGTAACTTTTTAATTTTTATTTATTTTTAAAGGGTTTTTTTGTTTGTTTTGTTTTATTTTGTTTTGTTTTGTTTTGTTTGAGATAGGTTCTCTCTATGTGGACCAAGCTGGCCTCCATCTTACAGAAATCTGCCTGCCTCTGCCTGGGATTAAAGGTGTGTGCCACCACATCTGGCTTGGGAGTAACTATTTCTTAATCTTCTTTAATAATATGGGCACTGCATTTTCAGTAAGGAAAAGGAACAAAAAGAAGCTTCTGCCCTTCTACGTACCTACCTTTAAGACTGGACAGAAGGCCCAATGTGGTGGCACACACCTTTAATCCTGGCACTAGAGAGGCAGAGGCAGGCAGATCTCTGTGAGTTGAGTCCTGCCTGGTCTACAATAGAGTTCCAGGCCAGCCAGGGCTACATAATGAGACCTGTCTTTAGAAAAAAAAAAAAAAGGGTGGGGGACAGAAATCAAGTTATATCAACTATATATAATATTGCAGCTACATGTAATAGTGAGAGGGATAGTGCAGCCCTTCAGTTACTGTGCTTGCCGAGGCTTGGTTGTGACTTTCCCCAGTTGCATTTTGAAGTCATGAGGCTGTAGTTTGAAACTTCAGTGTGTAAGAGAACATCAGCCATTATTTGGGAAATGGGGAATGATGACTTTGTCTCTCCAGCTCTCATACTTGAAGGGCACGAGGGTGACATGATGCCTACCTTACTACAGGCCTTCATGCCCCGAGGACTAGCAGACAAACGGGGGCCTGAGGAATGCGATGCTGTTGCTCTTTTAAGTCTCATCAATTCCTGTGATCACTTTGTGGTTGACCGAAAGAAAGTCACAGAGGTAAGAGCTATCAGATTCAAAACTACACCATGTCAGTTCGGTCAATACAGGGAAAGCCAGCAGAGAGGCTTCCTGGAATGCCAAGCCAGCCATACAGGCATATAACAGCCCTGCAGAACAGTGGTATGCAAAGAAAAACTTCAGTCCAAAGTTGGCATCAGTAAGCAGGCTCCTGGGGCTGAAGTCATATGTACCTACTGTGATGTTCAAGACCCCAGTGTGAATATAGTCAAGGACTAACCCTACAGTTCTCTAGAATTAGTTTCCTGACAACTTACTACTGTGCTATTTGCCATTGAAGTAGATGGAGCTCAGGTTTCTTTTCCCTGTTCTGCCATAAACAGAAGCAAAGTAGTTTTCTATTAAAAAAAAAAAAAAAGAAGAAGAATAGGGCTGGGGTAGCGGGGAGATGGCTCAGTCAAGAGCTTGCTATGCAAGCATGAAGACCTAAGTTTAGATTTCCCATAACTGTATAAAAGCTGAATGGGGTATTGCACCCCTGGGTTTTCGGGGTTGGGGGTGAGCCAGAGATGAGAGGATTCCTGGGACTTGCTGGCCAGCTAGTCTAGCAGAATTGGTGAGCTCCAGGTTCAGTGAGAGACCTTGTCTCAAGAAAATAAGATGGAGAGTGATAGCAAAAATACACTATGTCAGCCTCTGATCTCCCCGCAATGCATCTGCACACTCCCCTTCACAGATATGCACACGAACACATACACATGTAAAACAAAACAAAAATGCAGGGCTGAGGGTGTAACTCAGTGGTAGAGTACTTGGGTGGCATGCACAAGGGCATGGGCTCGATCCCCATCACCCCCCACTCATATACAAGCATACAGCAAACAACACTGCCTTTCCCTAAAACAGTTGTGAGATCAAGTTACGTAGAATTGAAGAAAATATGAACACTGATACACAGCTCTGTCCAGATCGATCATTCTCACTGTCACACTTCCCTCTGTAAGATTTAGAATTCTTACTAGTTCACTGGAGATCAGTCCTTGTACATTTATGACTTGGAGGGTCATTGAAAAGAGTATATAACAGCTCTGGATTATTGATAATATTAGGCAAAAGGGATAGATAGATATATATTTGGCCAGCCCTGTAGCAGCTGAAGAATCCTTTGTAATCTCCCAGAGATAAAGACTTATCACAGTGATTGAGCCTATATCTTTTAACCAAGAATGTAGAATATGGTGTGTGAATTTTATATATATTTGCTTTATTTTTATTTTTATTTTTTAGATATTTTTTATTATTTTTATGTGTATGTGTGTATTGCCTCCATGTAGGTAAGTACACCCGTGTCTTGCAATGCCCATGGAGGACAGAAGAGGCTGTTGGATCCCCTGGAACTGGAGTTATGGACAGTTGTTAGCTGCCATGTGGGTGCTGGGATTTGAACCCGGGTCTTCTGCAAGAATAGCCAGTGTTCTGAACTGCTGAGCCATCTCTCCAGCCCCCTGCTTTATTTTTATTTTATGTGTATGCATGTATTACGTGCATGTATGGAAGTACATTCATGTCATGCAATGCCCATGGAGGACAGAAGAGAATGTTGGATCCTGGAACTAGAATTACAGATGGTTGTTAGCCACCTTATGGGTGCTGGGATTCAAACCTGGGTCTTCTGCAAGAACAACCAGTGTTCTTAACCACTGAGCCATCTCTCCAGCCCCATGAATTATATTTTAATATATGATAGCACCGTTTTTCTCCTAAGCAAAAGTTTATTTTCTTTTCATCATGGTTTCCACATCAGAGAGCTCCCTTGGCACAGCTTCCTGGCACTTCACAAGATTTGAAAGATTTGTTTTGCATTGTCTGCTGCAGCCGGAGGTTATATCCAGAGCCATTGTGCTTGCTCTTTGTCAGGGTGTTTGAAGACATTTGGAAGAATGTCAAATACCCAACCAGGTCCCCTGAGACAAGGTCTTACTGCATGCCAGGCTGGCCTTGAACTTGTCATCCTGTTACCTGAGCCTTCCAAGTGCAAGGATTACAAGTACATGCCACCACACCTATTGGCTTCTTTGTATTGCTTACCCTGGTTGTTACTTTGTTACTTGTTTGGTAGTGAGTTGAATGACTCTGGCTTGCGGCTTTGTTTTATTTGTCCTGCTTGGGCTTAAAAATTGTGTGTACCTAGGGATAGTTGTCAGGCTTGGTGCAGGCAAGCCCTTTTACCCACTGAGCCATTTTGCCAGTTCCTGCCCCCCGCCCACCTTTTTAAAAATCTTTCTGACACAGTGTCTCCTTGTAGCCACAGCTGGCCCGGAACATGATATATTGACCAGGCTGGCCTCAATCTCACAGAGATCTGCCTGCCTTTGCCTCATGAGTGCTCGGATTAGAGGCCTGTGCCACCATGCCTGGCTACAGTTTCTGCCTATTTTTTAAAACAATTTTTGAATTCAGGTTTTGGGAGCTCATAAAGCTCCCATAGCAATAAGCCTCAAGTTGAGTAGAGGCTGTTGTTTTAGATGTAGAAGCTGCTGATTTAGATAAGATATTCATTCTCTAGTCATTCCAGTTCTGTCTGCCCTTGCCTCCCCACCACTGCACATAGCCAGCTTCACTTGGGCTGTCCACCTGACTGTTAAGGGCATTTCAGCTTGTGGCCCAACAAGAACTCTCTCCTTCTTACAGGCTCGCTGAACAGGCTGAAATTACATAGAGATCTGGAGGCTGGAGAGCTGTATTGTCCTCCACACCAGGTTGAATGCATGCTGGGTCATGCAGTGGTCTCAAGAAAGCTCCAGCTCTTGTCATCTTGAGGCCAGATCATACTTGTTGATTTTGTAGTTTACTGAAGTCTTTTTGTGATTCCTCTTTTGGCTCACAAGGTCTCTGACTGAATTTGAAGACTTATCTTTTTGTCTTTTTGTAGGTGATTAAGTGTCGAAATGAGATAATGCACTCTTCAGAGATGAAAGTATCATCTAAGTGGCTTCGAGATTTTCAGATGAAGATCCAGAATTTTCTCAGTGAATTCAAGAATATCCCAGAGATTGTTGCAGTATACTCCAGAATAGAACAGGTAAACATCTTTATAGAGTTATTTGGTTTTTTGAGACAAGGTTTTACTGTGTAGCCCTTGAACTTGATGTGTAGACTAGGCTGTCCTCAAACTTGTGGTCCTCCTGTTTCTGCTTATCGAAGGCTGGGCCTATAGGCATGCACCACCACACCCATCTGAAATTTCATTTAACAGTTCTGACATGGAACTAAGGGGTCAAAGTGATACATTTTTAAAATGAACTTTTAGCGTGGGCATGGATCTGGGAGAGTCGGGATGCAGTAGGGATGGTGGTGAATATGATCAAAGTACATTGTATGCATGTATTCTCAAAGGATTGATAAAAATATTTTTAAACAATGAACTTTTGCATCAGGCGTGGTGGTACACGCCTGTAGTTCCAGCACTCAGGAGGCAGAGGCAGGTGGATCTGTGTGAGTTCAAGGCCAGCCTGGTCTACATAGTGAGTTTCAGGCCAGCTGAGGCTACAGGGACACCCTGTTTCCAAAAAAAAAAGAACTTTTGCCAGACATGGAGACACACGCTTTTAATCCCAGGACTTGGGAGGCAGAGGCAGGCGGATCTCTGTGAGTTCCAGGTCAGCCTGCTCTACGTAGGCCAGGCAGGACTATGCAGTGAGACCCTGTCTTAAAGCAACAACAAGACCCATCCATAAACTTTTATAAAATAGTTGGTTCATGTATTTGTGTGGTTACCCCACAGCTGTTGACATCTGACTGGGCTGTTCACATTCCTGAGGAGGACAAGCCAGATGGGCGTGAATGTGAAATAGGAAGTTACTTGAGTGCAAGCCAGATCAACGAAATTGAAATAGAATTGCTGAAGGAAAAACTGCAAGAGATGTACCTTCAAGCAGCAGCAGAAGAGGTATTGCCTGGAGAGGTAAAGGGAAGGGTTCTATCCTGAGTGAGGAGGGAGGGAAGGTGGCAGCAGCAGCACATTTTGGCAGAGCCAGCTAGGTTTCCAGTCCAGAAGTCACGTGATTTCCAGAAGTGCGTATTCTTTCACCACAGATTGGTAGTACATTTTCACAGATATTTTCACTTAGCAAACATTTGAGGACTTCATGTGTGCCGTAAAGAGGAATAGTGGCATAAGGGCCACAGCAGAATTCTGAACAAGATGCACGGTGGGTTCTCTGCTGTCAAGGAGATCGCCAAAAGGAAGAAAAGGTGCTGGTATTCAAAGATACAGTAAGAGTTTGGCAAATGGATAAGGGAGGAAGGGTGTTCTTAGCAGAGGGACTAGCACTTGGAGTGGCATGAAAAACTAGTTAGTTTTGGCCTGGGCACTGGCCAGGCAAGCACAGGTTTGGAATGATTGGGGAGGAGTGTAGCAGGCTGGGGTGAAGTTATATTTTGAAAGGTTTCCTGTGCCACATCAAGGGATTTGAGCCTTATTCCCCCAAAGCTGCAGGGAGCCTATAATTGTTTCTAAGTGAAAAGAGCAATAGGGTCAGATGTGTGTGGGTTTTAGACTAACAGAGTTGGAAGATGTGCAGCTGCAGTGCACTTGCTGTTCAGCAGATCTGGTCCCGTGGAGGCGCTGCGCATTCTAACCCTCATGTTAGTCGGGAAATGGTAGTTAATTGGCTTGTCCTCAGTGCACAGAGTCTACATAGAGAAGATAAATTCTCATCTTCCGTGCTTTCTGCTCAGCAGATCATGGAATATTTCATATTTCAGGGGATGAGGTGGCCAGGTGTGGCTTGTGAGAGAGATTTGTGCTGACGTGTCAGGAGTGGTGCTGCTCTGCATCTTGTGCCTGGAGCAGAAGACGAACCTGTAGTCAAGTGACTTGCAATAAACTAAATGCTTGCTAAATGAAAGCGTGCCAGACACAATGCTAAAGTACTTTTAGTAGATGGATTCTGGAGTCCTCCCCGCCCCAAGGGAAAAAAAGCAACCCTTCTGGGGATGGAGAAATGGCTCAGCGATTAACAGTGCATACTGCTTTTCTAGATGACCCAGGTTTGATTTCTAGCACCCATGTCAGGTGGCTCACAGTCACCTGTAACTGCGGCTTCAGGGGATCCATCATCTGTGGCCTGTTCAGGCACCTACACTCATGTGCACATACCTACACACAGACACAAAAATGCACACATTATTTAATAAAACAAGGGAGCTGGAGAGAAGATTGCACTCAGTGGTTAAAAGCACTCACGCTACTCTTGCAGAGGACCTGAGTTTGGTTCCTAGCAGCCATATCAGGAAGCTCAAAATTGCCTGGAACTCTAGCTGCAGAAGATCTGAACCTTCCTTGCCTCCATGGCACTGTATGCACATGTACGTACACACACAGACACATAGACATTCACGAATAAAAATAATATCTTTAAAACAAAACAACAAAACCTCCTAGGTGATAATATCTTCATTAGTAATTTGTCTATATAGAAGTGAGCCAGAAGCCATCCTGCCCAAAGTCACATAGCTAGTAACACAGTTAGGCTTCAGTGTCCAGTCCTCAATGACTACATTCTATAATTATCTAGAACTTCCGGGTTTTAATTTCTAATTCCACCTTTACATAAAATGCACAAATTTCCCTGTAGCCCAGGCTGACTTCAAACTCATTGTGTAGCCAAGGATGACTTTGAACTTCTACTACTGCCTCCATGTACCACATGCTAGAATTTTAGGTGTGCACCACCATACCTGGATCCCCATTTTTTTTGTCTTTTTTGAGACAGGGTCTTTCTGTGGTCCCAGCAGGCCTGAAACTCACCATGTAGACCGGCTAGCCTTGATCTCATAGAGATCCACTGAGATCCATCTGCCCCTGCCTCCTGAGTGCTAGGATTAAAGATGTGCTCCTGAGTGCTAGGATTAAAGATATGCACCACCACGCCCAGCCGGATCCCCCTTTTTTTTTTGGTCTTTTTGAGACAGGATCTCCCTGTATCCTCAGCTGGCCTGGAACTTACTATGTAGACCAGTCTGCTTGAACTCAGAACTCATGGAGCCCCCTCCCCCCCCCCCCCCCACGTGCTGGGACTAAAGCTGTGTACCACCATGCCTGGCTAGGATCCACATTCTTAATAATTTTAAAATTTATTTTTATTTTATGTGTATGAGTGTTTTGCCTACATGTGTAAACACACCCATGTTGTGCAATGCCATGCCCATGGAGGTCAGAAGAGGACATCATCAGGTCCCCTGGAACTGGAGTTAGAGATGGTTGTGAGCTGCCATATGGGTGCTGGGAACCAAACCAAGGTCCTCTGCAAAGAGCAGCCAATGCACTTAACTTTAAGCCTTCTCTCCAGACCCATAATAATTTTTAATTTAGTAATTTTGTAGTACTGAGGATGGAGTCCAGGGCCTCATGCATACTGGATAGGTACTCTGCCACTGAGCCACACCCCATTCCAATACTTTTTTGTTGTTTTGAGACAAGATCTTACTGACAGCCCACACTGGGCCCCAATAATTCTTATGAAGCCTCCTTTTGAATTTGCCTTGTCTTTAAGCTAAAGTAATCACCCGACCCCAGCTGTGAGCACCTTTTCAGTACATTTATTGTGTTTATTGCTTTCACAAAGGGAAAACTGGAACTCAACTCCACTTGGAAATAATGAGAAAGAAAGCCAGCTTCAAATAGAAAGGAGAATTGGAGCAGGCCATGGAGGAGGAACAGAGAGTTCTACATAAAACCTTTGAGCCAAAAAAAAAAAAAACAAGAGCTAATGCCAAATGGGCGGCCAGGTAGATCTCTGTGAGTTTGGGGCAAGCTTGGCTCAGCACAGCCTGGGCTACACTTTCTGCCACTGAGCCACACCCCATTCCAATACTTTTTTGTTGTTTTGAGACAAGATCTTACTGACAGCCCACACTGGGCCCCAATAATTCTTATGAAGCCTCCTTTTGAATTTGCCTTGTCTTTAAGCTAAAGTAATCACCCGACCCCAGCTGTGAGCACCTTTTCAGTACATTTATTGTGTTTATTGCTTTCACAAAGGGAAAACTGGAACTCAACTCCACTTGGAAATAATGAGAAAGAAAGCCAGCTTCAAATAGAAAGGAGAATTGGAGCAGGCCATGGAGGAGGAACAGAGAGTTCTACATAAAACCTTTGAGCAAAAAAAAAAAAAACAAGAGCTAATGCCAAATGTGCAGACAGGTAGATCTCTGTGAGTTTGAGGCAAGCCTGGTCTAGACCAGCCTGGGCTACGTATTGAGATCCTGTCTCAAAAGAAAAAGCTAAGTAGAATGGAGCAAACCCATGTGCAGGGCTACAGAGGCCCAAGGGTCACAGCTCCCAGGGGACCAAAGGAGATCTCAGAACAGGGAGAAGAAGCCCCAGGGGAGGACCAGGAGTCCTGTGAGGAGTTGAGTGTAGTATGTGGGGCTGGCTGACGCAGTACACCTAGCATTGGCTGGGCATGGCAGGCAGCCCTGTGGTCTGTCCAGGGCACCAGGCACAGTCTAGAAGAACTCACAGCACAGAGATGTTGGTTATTAATATATGCTATGACCAGTGTCATGAGCGAGTTCTTCCTTCGCAGTTTTGTGGCTTCAGGGGGGTAGTCAAAGCCTGGCATCTTACAGCAGCTCTGGGCTGATCTTTAGTCTTCCAGCTAACAGGTCCACCTGAAGGACATTCCCCTGGTCTGCTTCCACAGCAGTCAGAAGGCCCCCTGTCATCTTCAGTGCCTGCCTGTCCTTCCCTGCTTTGCAGTCATCCTGGCCACAGCCATATTAGTCTTCCCCTCCCTGTTTCCATGCAGCCATCATCTAGCATCTGGCTATTGGAATCCTGCACCAGATCCTGATACATTCCAGTCCCTTCTGTCTGTACTCTAAAGCTAAGAAACTGCATTCCGGGGCTGGAGAGATGGCTCCAGCGGTTAAGAGCACTGACTGCTCTTGCGGAGGACCCGGGTTTGATTCCCAGCACCCACATGGCAGCTACGAACCATCCTTGACTCCAGTTCCAGGGGAATCTGATGCCCTCCTCTGACCTCTGTGACACTGCACGACACAGGTGTACTCACATACATGCAGGCAATACACTCATACGCATAAAATAAAAATTAAAAAAAAAGAAACTGCATTCCACTAGTGCAGGCTATTGCACTATTTTTTATGAGATTTTAAGTAACCTTGAGTTTGCATGGAGTTGGGGTGTCCCTCATCCAAAAAACATGCACTATACCACAAAATAAGAGTATCTGTTAAGGCTAAGGATTTATCTCAGTAGTAGGTAAGCATAAGGAACTGGGTTCAGGTCCCTAGCACCATCAGTATGATGATGGTTGGTGATGATGATGATGATGGAGGTACCTAGCATCTTTGTATTAACTACAGGAACCAATGAGGGTCTTCTGGGATAAACCCCATGTAGACACTCTCTCAGTTCCACTCTGAAATTCTTTGTACTGGTTGGAATGTTGAGAAGTAAGTTACTGGGAGATTTAAATCGGCACAACACCTATACTTGGCACTTTTGACTAAATCCATTAAAATTAAGACAGAAGACTCAACCAGAATTAGAACTGCCTTCCACTTCTATAAACAGACCTATAGACAGGATGTGATTTATGCAGAGTAACACATGGTTAAGTTCTTTTTTTAAGATTTATTATTTTAAATTGTGTGTGTGTGCGTGCACTCGCACGCATGTGTGCATGTGTGTGAGTGCAGGTGCCTATGGAGGCCAGAAGCATTGGATCCTCTGGAGCTGGAGTTAAGGTGGTTGTGAGCTGCCTGATATGGGTGCTGTGAACTGGAAGAGCAGTATGTGCTTTTAACTGCTGAGCCATGTCTCTAGCCCCTCAGATTAAATTCTACATCATTACTTGTCTGAACAGAAAATGGAGCTTGGAATACTATTCAGTCATTAAATAATGAGGCTGCCTCACTGCTGAACTGTTTGCTATGGATAGATTTGGGGATAGGGAGAGTTGTAATCTGCTGATAATCCCACTAGGCTTGAATGAGTATTTCCACTCTAATGATTACACAGATGCCCCTGGCATCTAAATGACTAAATGACTCACAAAACAAAACTATAGGTCATGAATTTTGGAAAGGGATTTGTAGGGAGGAATGGGAGGATGAGAGGGATGGGGGCATGCAGTCAGAATGCATTATATATATGTATGGTATTGTCAAAAAACTAAAGGGACTCAGTAGTTAAGAGTACTGGCTGCTCTTGTAGAAGACCCAGATTTGATTCCCAGCACCCACACGATAGCTAACAACTGTTCATAATTCTAGTTCCAGGGGATCTGACACCCTCTTCTGACATCCATGGGCACTGCATGACATGGTGCACCTACCTACATGCAGGCAACACACTCATACACGTAAAATAAAAATAATAAATATTTTTTTAAAAACTATATAAAAACGTAAAAAAATAATGAACTGCCTTTATAATGTCCCATAGAAGACATCAGTTGCAGATGGTTCGTTATGGTCACCTGTAAGGGAGCAGACCAGGGTAGCTGGGGCAGGTTTGGGAGAAGATTGACCTTAACCTCACACCATGTTGACTTGGAATTTTGTATTTTTACATTTAGCACTATTTTATATGTATATTTCTTCACAATAATAATTATATAGGCACAAAAACTCAAAAGTATAAAATGACCACTTTCCATAGAAATTCAGGTTTTAAAGGAAAAACTCTGAGGTGACAAGCAAACACCCAGTGTGTGGTCTCAGAGCTAGCTATCCTGGATCATGTTTTGTTGCAGTGGAGAATGCTTCTTTTGTTTTTATATACATATATATATATATATATATATATATTTATTGGTGCAGGCCTGGAACTTGTGATCTTTCTGCCTGAGCTTCCCAAGTGCTGGGTTTATAAGTATGAGACACCATACCTGTCTGAGCATGCCTTATTTTTTAAAAGATTTATTCTTTTTATTTAAGTGTATGTATATGAGGCAATTTGAGTTTATGTGTACTGTGTGTGTACAGATGCCTATGGAGGCCCAAGGGTATGGGATCTCCTGGAACTTGAGTTACAGGAGGTCACAAGTTGTCTAATGTGGTTGCCAGGAATTGAACCTGGGTCCTCTGCAAGGGCAGTAAGCTCTCTTAACCTCTGTGTCATCTCTCCAGTGCCTTGAGCATACCTTATTTTAAAATATTATTTTTATTTTATGTGTAGGAGTGTTTTGCCTTTATGTATCTAAGTGCACCTATGTGGATGCAATGCCTTTGGAGGCCAGAAGAGGGCATTGGATCCCCTGGAACTGGAGTTAGAGATGGTTGTTAGCTGCTATTTGGGTGCTGTGAACCAAACCCGGTCCTCTGTAAGAGCAGCCAACAGTCCTCTTAACTGCTGAGCCATCTCTCCAGCCCCTGCATACCTTATTTTAAAGAATTTGTTTTGGTTTTGATTTGCCAAAACCTGTCTGTGGACAGGTGCCAGTAGCAAGTGATTTTGTCTCATGGTAGACACATGAAGAGGAGCTGGTATCCAGGTTGTTGGGGGAGATAGTGAGGATAGAACCCAGTGCCTTGTGCATGTCAAGCATGCTCCCTGCTGCTAAGCTACACTCCTAGCTCTGGGAGCCCATCTTGAAGCTACTAAATTTTTCATTTGGATTACAAGTCCACTATAAGAATTTTCCTGAGCTTTGCTTTGTATGGTTTCCTCTTGCAGATCTCAGATCATCTGGATAAGGTGAAGGAGTTTCTGAAAAGCAATGAAGATCTTCAAAATGGCCTTACAGAAGACATGCAAAAGCTAGACAGCCTCTGTCTACAGCACCAAAAACCAAGGTCAAAGGACACCGGTAGACAGACACCTGAAAGGAAGGCTTGAGGTAAGTTTAGGCTCGGGATGTTAAGGCACACAATAGTCTTGCCACTTTGATGTGTGCTCTCATGTGAACACACAGCAGTCTCACCTGCTTTCCCTGTGTCTGTATTATTCCAAAGGAAGGGCAGTGAGCACTCATCCTTTCTCTAGTTCATGGCTCTCACACTTGTGAAGTCCCTGGCAGCTTGTCAGCCAAATACACCTGAAGTCACAGGTCAGCCTTTAGGTAAATGAGCACATCATTTATAACATAATCAAAAAGCACTTTGCTCTCAGATGATGCCAGAGATGCTCAGCTTTTACCATGGCATTAATAGCATTTTTTTAGTATCTATGAGGAAGGCAGTTAACATAAGTAATCAAATATTCAATATTTTATTTATTTTTCCTGTCAGATACAGAAAAACAAGGTTCAGGCATCGTGGCATACACCTTTAATCTTAGCACTTGGGAGGCAGAGGCAGGCAGATCTCTGTGAGTCGGAGGCCAGCCTGGTCTATGTAGTGAGTTCCAGGCCAGCCAGGGCTACATAGTGAAATCCTGTCTCTGAAAACAGCAACAACAAAAAAGACAGGTCATGGTGGTACATGCCTTTAATCACAGCATTCAGGAGGCAGAAGGAAGTGGATCTCTGTGAGATTGAGACCAGCCGGGTCTACATAGTGAGTTCCAGCTGTGGCTACTGGGAGACCCTGTCTCAAAACAAACAAACAAATGAAAATGCTCTCTTTTGTTTTACCTTGCCCTTTGACAAAATTCTGGCATGTTTTGAGAAAGTCAGTATGGCTTCCAGCTCAGCACCTCTTCTGTGCAAAAGGGAAATGTTTCCTAAGTTCTCTACGTCAACAAAAAGCTTTTTTGTCCTGGGCTTTCTTCTGATCTTTCAGGAATATTTTTTTTCGTCTTTATAAATTGCAAGTTGTATAATGTATACAATAAAAAATATTATATACTCTTGAGTATTTTACATGGTGAAGGTGGTGGGGCCAGGTCTGTGTGACGGAGTGCCTGCCCTCTGCCTGTGCTTGGAAGTCTCATGACAGTGTCAAAGGGTGGACTGGGATGTAGGTATCCATATAGAAATTCTTTCTTTCTGGACAAGAGCAAGAGGCAAAAGTTACCCAAAAGGCCATTTCTAGCCATTTCCCTGAGTGTGGAGCTGTTTCTTCTAGGTTTGAATGGCTTGAGGTACAATAGCGTGAGGGAACTGCTGGGCTGCTCAGTGGTGACTAGAGAACAGACTAGACTGAGTTGTGCAGCAGAGGGCCCAGGCCACTGTCGCAAATGGAAGATCAGTTGTCAGTTTGCCATCGACACTGCACAGATGAAAAGTGGACTCAGCCAGATGGGTAGCTCATACCTATAACCCAGCTACTCAGGAGGCTATGGTAGAATGATCCCGAGTTCTAGGTCAGCCAGGGCAGTTTACCGAGACCCAATCTCAAAATAAAATAAATCAATTATAAACAAAGGGATAGGGATGTGGTACAGTTGTAGGACATTTGTTACTGTGCACCAGGCCCCAGATCCAATCCTTAAAACCATCCGCACAAAACAACAAAGTAAACTCCCAGCTCTTCTTGAGCAGTTGTGTCCCCTGTGCTGAGTGCAGGGCATCCCCCTCATGCCCCATGAATATTTGTTTGACTAAAAGTTCATCCATTTGCTTAGGAGTATTTGTAAGTATCAGTGCTAGCTGATTTTCATTTTGAAATTTCACCATTCTTACAGATATTGAAGCACATCATTTCCTTTCACCAAATTTATAAATTCATTCAGTTTCTCTATTCCTTTATTCTTTGTCCTGCTTGTTCCTGAACCGTGCAGAAACCCTGTGCCATTGTATGCAGTGGCCTTGTGGGGTCAGACTTCCACCTTTCCATCCACCTGCTCATTTTCAAGGTCAGTGGTACTAAACTGGCTTACGTCACCTGTGGACCTGTGTTCCCCGGAACTCTTCCTGGAAGAAATGCTCCATGCCAAGCCTCAGCAAAGATGGGCACATGCTTTCTTCTGGTCAATTGCCCAACAAAGATGAATTCTGTAGAGAATGGGTGGGGGGAGGGAAAGACTGTATTTGGTATATTTTTTACTTTCAAACCCCAATGGATGCAGTGTGCCTGCAACTAGCTGCATTCACCTTCCCACGTGCTGTTTGCTCTTCAGTCTTGTGTTTTCTTTCTCCCTTCCTTTTGTCAAGTTCCTCTGGAAGAGTTCAGTAGTGGAGTAAGAATTTTCATTCATCTTGTAACTCTTGTAACCCTTGTAACTTTTGTAACTCTTGTAACTCTTGTAACTTTTGTAACCCTTGTAACTCTTGTAACTCTTGTAACCCTTGTAACTTTTGTAACTCTTGTAACCCTTGTAACTTTTATAACTCTTGTAACTCTTGTAACTCTGTGTCTAGTTAGTCCTTATCAATTCAGCACATAATCAAGTGTCAACACTGTGCCAGACACTGAAGTAAATACAAATGTAATGATTGTCTCCTCTGTCTGATAAATCAAGAATTTTGTTCAGATAACTTGAAACTAGTAACAATTAATTACATTGAAACAGAGAAAGGAAGACATGCCTTTAAAGGGCTCTGAAGGGCTTTAAAATGGGATGTGGCTTGTACAGCATTGTTACCCCAGCCATCAGCAGAGAGGACTCATTAAATAAGACATAGTGCAGGGCTGGAGAGATGGCTCAGTGGTTAAGAGCACAGACTACTCTTATAGAGGACCTGGGTTCTATTCTCAGCACCCACATCATGGGTAACCATCCAAAACTTCAGTTCCAGGGAATCTGATGCCTTCTGACCTCCACAGGCACTGTGCAGCACGGGTGCAGGCAATACACTCATACATGCAAAAAATAAAATAAATTTTTAAAAAATGCAGGGGGCTGGAGAGATGGCTCAGTAGTTAAGAGCAGTAATTGCTCTTGCAGAAGACCCAGGTTTGATTCCCAGCACCCACATGGCGGCTAACAACCATTTGTAACTCCAGTTCCAGGGGATCTGACACCTTCTTCTGACCCCCATGGGTATTGCATGACACAGGTATACTTGCACACATGCAGTCAATACACTCATACACATGAAAAAAAAAAAAAACAGTGCATTCATACTATGTCACACAGCTCTGTTAGAATAGTGAGCCTATGCTGCAGTGTAGTCATGTGGCATTACCTCTAAGTCATGTGAAGTCATAAAATGACTGAGGGAGTAGGGTGTACTCTGGTACAGTGCCTGCCTACCAAGCATGAAGCCTTGGATTAGATCCCCCAGCTCCACTGTCAAAAGCAAATACATAGAAAAGCAAAATGTTTAACAGTACCCAGTATGCTAGAATGTATTGTAACAGTACCCAGCTATCTGTATTGTATGATAACTGAGGTCTAGAAAGGTGTGTTTCTCCCATATCTGTCTGCTGTGTTATGTCTGTGAAAAGAATTAGGACTGTGGGGTAGTTAGAAGGAATTTGGTTTTTCTGTTTTATATATTCTTTTTATAATAAACATGTACTCATATTTTGAATTTTTTTAATTAAAATTTTGTATTTCAAAACAATAAAGACACATGCGCAACATATATTCAACCTGTAAGCCTTCTGTGTCCAGTTGCTTGGATTTTGTTGTAGACTCCCTTTTGCAGCTCCACCTCCAGGGGTACTTCCTAATCCCAGCATCTGGGGAGGGAGCCCAGGAAGGGAATACCTTTCTGTCTAGGGCTGCCTTTGTTTCCTTATGGAGTGTAGTGCCTTGTTTCCATCCACAAGTATGATTTGTGCTGGGCCTCTCCCTGGGGCATAGCACGTGGTTGACGGTTTTGAAAGAATTTGTAGAGAAAAAATGACTAGATCATCATAGTTGCAAAGATAAGGCTGGTCCTTGGCTCTGGCTTGTTTTTTTATTAGGGACTTTGGAGAACTTAAGATGTGACACATTAGACTCAGTGAAAACACCTGAATTCTGGGAAATGGCTTAAGTGAGCTGGTGACCCACACTTCTGGAAAACTAGCTGTCTGATAAGTCAGAAAGTGTTACTGGCTTCCTGAAGTTGTGGTAGAGCTCTATAGTTTTAAATTGCTGAAGTCAAGAAGGATTATGTTTAAGAGGATTATCAAATGATTGTTATTCTAATAATTTGAAGGGTTCTAATACTTTTTATTAAAGTGTTATTTAATGTGGTTTGAAATGCTAGTAACCTAGGTAACAAAGGGCCAGCTGTTCTAGTTAAATGGGTATGTTACAGCATTGCATTGGAGTGAAGTATTGCAGCCTTAGCTTCTCTGAGCATTTTGACCTCTAAATTATAAGTGTAGACTGATAGGAAATTATCAGTTAAGATTACCTCCTTTTCCATTTCCAGGTTAATTAGAAACCTACCTGCTCTGGAATGTCTTCAGTAGTGGCCTTTTGAAATACATTCAAATTATAAAATACAGTTTTGTAAGACATGCCTAAAAATATTAATTTCTATTCATATAATACTCAGTGAAGTGAAAAAAATCCTTTAATGTTTTAATAAAAATCTTGATATACTTCACTTCATAACATTAAGAACTGGTTTTTATTATTGCAACATAGTCTGAGTTATCTAAACCGTTAAGAGCTACTATTATCTTCCAGATATATGCATATAAGTAATAACCACACAACTCTGAACTGAACATTGTGTGACATCTCTTTGTGAGTCTCGGCTTTATTTCTACTGAGTATCAGAAAGCATGACAGTTTTTACTTCAGAACCATATCTGGTAGGCCAGCTCCAAGGTGACCCCTGGTATAGTCTTTGCCTTCTGGTATTCCCACCCTCATATTGTCCTCCCACAGTGAAGCAGGGTTGGTTTGTGAATATACCAAAAGTGATGATACATCACTTCGTGATTGAACTGAAAAGACTAGGACTTCCCTCTTAGATTCTCTGGGAACACCACTCTGGGGAAAATCATGTTGTGTCATGAGCAGTCTTATGACATCTACAGGACAAGGAGCTGAAGCCTCCTACCAAGAATTGTGTGTAAACCTGCAAATACATCTTCCAGCTCCAGGCGAGTCTTCAGAAACCATGCTAACTGTGAGACTGCTTGGTTTTTTTTTTAAATATTTTATTCATTATTATTTTATGTGTATGAGTGTTACACCCACATGTAGGTAAGTGTACCTGTGTTGTGCAATGCCCACGGAGGACAGAAGAGGCTGTCAGATCTCCTGGAACTGGATTTACAGACAGCTGCCATGTGGGTGCTGGGATTCGAACCCAGGTCTTCTGCAAGAGCAGTCAGTGTCCTTAACCGCTGAGCCATCTCTCCAGCCCTGAGACTGCTTGTTGTTTTAAGCTATTAAGTTGTGGGGTTACCCAGCCACACACAACTAATACACTGTCCTGTAACCTGTTTCCCACCCTCCACCTTCACAGGCAGAATGTGAATGGGACTGCCCACAAGGACTAATGTGTGGTGCTGCAGTGCTTCTACTGTTGTGCCTCTTAGCCAAGAGCTGATGTCTTCAGAACTTGTCAAGAATTTTCAATGTCTTTGCATTTGAAATCTTGATCAAAAGCAGGTTAAGCACTTCTGAACATATGCATTGGATTCCCTTAGGAACCACCGTGGGCCTTCCCACATCCAGCAGAATCCAGAGCAAGGGAAAATGTGGATCAAACCTCAGAGGACCTCAGCCTCACCTTACAGCCTCTGCCCTTCTCTCTTCCCTCTTCTCATGCTCTCTGGCTAAAGAAAAGTCACTGGCAAATCCTAGAAGATTCCTAAGGGTGAACTCTGAACTGTTAACTCATGACTTGTATCCTTAGCTCCAACCTGGGGACAGGGCTAATCAATTATACAAACTGTTAGCTCTTCCTCTTTTTTTTTTTTTTTTTTTTTTTTTTGGTCTTTTTGAGACAGGGTCTCTCTGTATCCTCAGCTGGCCTGGAACTCACTATGTAGATCAGGCTGGTCTTGAACTCACAGATCCGCCTGCCTCTGCCTCCCCAGTGTTGGAATTAAAGGTGTGCGCCACCACACCTGGCTTAGCTCTTCCATTTTTTTTTTTTTTTATGTATACAGGTGTATCGCCTATCGCTTGCATCTATGTGAGTACACCCGTATTGTGCAATGCCACAGAGGTCAGAAGAGAGCTTCGGATTCCCCTGGAACTGGAGTCAAGGATGGTTCGTAGCCACCATGTGGGTGCTGGGAATCGAACCCGGGTCCTCTGCAAGAGCAGTCAGTGCTCTTAACCGCTGAGCCATCTCTCCAGCCCTAGCTCTTCCATTTTTAAGAAGTGGAAGGAATTCTGATTTTGGCATGTTTACTTTGTTTGCCTAGAACTCAGAGTTGACAGCAATCATCCTCATGGTGCTTTATCTCATCTCCATCGCAGTTTCTATAACTGCTCTCCATCACCAAATGATACAGGACTCTCAATAAGAACTTGAGCCTAGGGGCCGGAGAGATGGCTTAGTGGTTAAAAGCACTGGCTGCTCTTGCAGAGGACCCAGGTTCAGTTCCCAGCACCCACATGGCAACTAACAACCATCCCTAACTCCAGTTCCAGGGGAATCCAATGCGCTCTTCTGACTTAGTAGGGCTTTGCGTGACACAGGTGCACTAACACATGGAGGCAATATACTCATATACATAAAAATAAAAAATTAGGCTGAGTGTGGTGGCACATGCCTTTAATCCAAGCACTCAGGAGGCAGAGGCAGGCAGATCTCTGTGAGTTCAAGGCCCTGGTCTACAGAGTGAGTTCCAGGCCAGCTGGGGCTACATGGAGACTCTGTCTCAAAAAGACAAAAAACCAAAAAAATTAAAATAAAAAAACACTTCATTCTAAACTGGACTTCACTACACGTATTTTAAACCCACTTCTAGACATTTCCCTAGACAAAAACACCTCCCCTCCCCCCTGTTTTGGTGTAGGGATTTGTGACTGTACCAAATTTTAAGTCACCTGTGCCACTAAACACCATTGTTTATGCTGGGCAGGGCACCTAAATCAATTAACAAAAGTGTGTTCCCTAGACAGCTTTTTTAAAGCCAAGCTATGAATGGCCAATTTGTTTTGCCTTCAGACTTCCTCGATTATCTAACCCTGAATTTATAAAGGTCATGTGAAGTGCGGGACCCACCAATCTACCCTCCCTACCTTCACTCAGGAAATGTTTCCTCCCAGTTCACTAAACAGGCAACACTCAACATCAACTTGATGTTTTGTTTTTAAATTAACCAAACTGCAGGTTTAAATTAGGTTTGCACTGTTTGAGAGTCCAACCAAAGTTTTCCTTGGCCTTTCTTTAGGAGGAGTAGAGTCCAGTGCTTGGAAGCTGCAAATACTGGGTCAAGCCCCCCAGCCTTTAAGCTTGTTTGAGCTTGGAGACCAGAAAGTTGCCGGTGTTGGCTTTAGTGGTAGTTGAGGCGGTTGCTTGCCTGCATGCTCTCTGCCATCACATTGGTACAGTGGCATGCCATCAGCAGGTACTTGTGAGGCTGGACCCGGTAGGCGAATCTCATGAAGGCCATGGAGTAGAAGATAAGCGTGTCATTATGCGGCCACTGATGATGTTGGGCAGCGCCTTCATGTTCCTAAAGGCAGCCAGTGGAAGGCCCCAGTTGACCACAGGACCCCAGAAGTGGGTCCTGGTCAGGTAATCCTGGAATGCCTTGGTGGTCTTCTGAAATAGCACTGCCACCCCCGCCATGGTCACCTGGGCCGCAGGAGGAGCACAGAACGCTGACTGCAGCTGACCATGCAACAACCGCTAGTCGCCTCGCACCTCCTTGTGCCGCTGCCTGAAAGCACACCATGCTGGCCTGCAGAGACACGGCCCCATCCCTGCTTAGCACATAGGCAGGTGCACTTGTGCTCATGAGTACTGTCCCTGTGGCCAAGGCAGGGCCTCAGCATCTCGATCCTCCAACTCTAGGACCACCACGAGGTTCAGAGGCCCCTGTGCACCACCCAGGGAAGTGGTGACCTGGCCTGCTGTGCAAAAGAGCCTTTTACTTGCATCGTCCAGCCTGTAACTGCATGTTGATATGGAATTTCGCAAGCAGGTACAGAATTTTAATCCTCACACAATTGGGAAACAGCAACATTTCACCCCTAAATATTTTAGCATTTGTCTCTTAGGAACAAGGACACTCACCTGCTTAACTACAGTACAATTTTCACTCAGCTAATTAGTATCCAATATCTCATATACAGTGCATATTTAAATGTTAGAGCTTTATGGCTGTTTTTTCCTCATTTTTTTGTTTGGTTTGCTTCGGTTTTTCGAGGTGGTGGTTGAGACACCAGCTCCAGCTGGTCTAGAACTCACCCTGTACACCAGGCTGGCCTCAATCTAACAGAAATCTGCCTGCCTCCGCCTCTGCCTCCCAAGTGCTAGGATTAAAGACATGCCCTAGTATGTCTGACATTTTTTTCCTTCATTCTTTTTGGAGGGGGGGAGATTTAAAATCCAATCAAAGTTCCCATTTCATTTACTTCTTGAGTTAATCTTTAAAAAAATTGTTATTTTTAGTTTATGTGTATGAGTGTATTGCCTACATATATGTGAGTGCACCTGTGTTGTGCAATGCCCTTGGAGGTCAGACGAGGACATCAGATTCTCCTGAAACTGGACCTGTGGATGGTTGTCAGCAGCCATGTGGGTGTTAGGAACTGAACCTGGGTCCTCTGCAAAAGCAGCCAGTGCTCTTAATTGCTGAGCCATCTCCCCAGACCCTTGAGTTAATCTTTAAATTCAGGATAGCTCCCAGCTTTGTTTTTTTTTTTTCTTTTTGTCTTTTGTAGTGTTTATTGAAGAGGCCAGACCTAGTGACTTTTTAAAATGTCCTTGATTTGGATTTGTCTGCTTTTTCATAACTAATTCAGTTAAACATTTTTTGGGATAAAACAATGGTACAGTTTATGTTGTGTCTTTACTGCGTCATGATGGGAGGTACCTGGTGTCACCTTGTTCCATCATTGGTGGTAAGCTTGATTCTTGCTTAAGGAGTTATCTGACAATTTCCCACTGTAAAGGTAGTTTTCCCCTATCATCAACAAGTAATCCAAGACAGCATTCCAAGAGTATATGGGCACCCTATTCTCCAGCAGTCTTCCTTCAAATAGTTTTAACATCTGTTGATGAAAATTCTTTAATGACAAAATTTGTAATTATTTTCCCAATGCTTTTGTCTAAAAATAGCAACTGTTCAAAAGTAATTGAATACCCATTGAAATAACTTCTATGATTTACAAATAACTTTAAAAATTAAAATCTGTCTTCATTTTTATCTCAAGTACTTCATAAAGACAGTATAAAATGTATACTATAGCCAGATGTAGTGACACACGACCTGCACTTGAGAACCTGAGTTAGAAGGATTGCCAAGTTCTAGGCCAGCCTAGGCAACAGAGCAAGACCCTGTCTCAAAGTCCCAATTTTTCGAAAAAGATAACCTATTTAAAATTCTGAACTTCTAAATGTGGATGGCTGGTATATTGTTGTAAATTAATTAAGTATAAGTTTGAATTAATCAGCATGTATTTGTTGATGATATTTTGGATTTGTATGCCAAAAACTTCAGTTTTTTAAAAAAAAATTAGATGTGTATGTATGTGTATATGGGTTTGTGTGTTTGCAGATGTCCATAGAGCCTAGAAGGGGCCATTGGATACCCTGGAGCTGGAGTTAGTGGTGGTTGTGAGTCTCCCAGTGTAGGTGCTAGGAACTGAACTAATGTCCTCTGTGAAAGTAGTACATGTTCGTAACCTCTGAGCATCTCTCAAGCCTCTGTATGCCAGACACTTAGTGTCTAGAAGAAGCATGAGCTATTACTACTTGTACAAAAAGCTTTCAGTATTTGTAGATCACATCATATAGATTATTACTTGGCTTTGATGACTAATAACTAGGGAACAAAGCAACAAATCGCTCTGAGGCTTAATGGCTTAGAATAATACCAATACCATATTTTACTTACAGATTTTCAATTTGAGCAGAATTTAATAGGTTCAGCTT